GGGGTCCGCTCCTCCCCGGCTGCACAGGGCGGGGGGAGGCGGCAATCCCCCCTCCAGCTGGGAATGGCCCGGGGGGGCGAGGGGGCACCTCGGCCTCCCTCCCCGCAGCGAAGCCTGGCAGGCCCCAAAGGCCAAGAGCCGGGGTGCGGAGGGGTCCTGCGGTCCCAACCCCCCTGTTCAGCCTCCTGGTCCCTCGGCCACCAGGGAGTCTCCCCAGAGACATTCAGCGAAAATCTTGTAGAAGCAGCAACTGCGGGCAGGGACTCCTGCTCCATCTGCCCCAGAGACGTTTGCCCTCGTCCCTAGCCAGGGTGGCCGTCAGAGAGGACAGTCCAGGTGTCCTCTGTCCACCGTTGATACGAAACCGGACACCTTTATGTCCTATTTTTTTTCTTTTGAAGCGAAAACTAGAGGACATGAAGGCGTTGGATTTCATATCAATAGCAATAAACAGAGTAGTGGAAAACCGAACTATGATGCCCACCCTGCCCCTTGCTCAGAAATGTTGGGACGTGATAAAGCTGCTCCAGCCATCCTGGAGCCTAGCCTTAGATGTCCTTCACATCTCCTTTTTCCCCTGAGCTTTGCCTGTCCCTGGGGAACACAGGCAGGATTTGTCTTCATTCTCACTTAGCAGCTTCTGAAGCTCTTTCCCCCGCTCTGCTGGGTTCTGCTCTTTACCATCCCACTCCCCTCCTTTACATTGTTGCTCACAAACGTCTCCCACAAGGACCGCTTCTGCCTGTAAAAATCGACCTCAGAGCATCGGTATGATGAATGCTGCCACTGTTGCCCGGCAGGGCTTGCAATGCTTCTGTGGTGATTTCCGTCACAATCCTTTAAAACGCAGCAAATTATGTTTTTTAAAATGGATCCTTTGTATCATTATCTCACCAAGGACCCCCAGACATGGATCAAGGCTCCATTGCGCTACAGCCTCTACGAGCACAGAACAAAAAGACAGTCCCAACCGGAAGAGTTTGCAAGCTATGTATAAAGCCAGAGAAAACAGATGGATAGAAATAGCAGCACTAGATACAATGAGAAATGACAGGGCAGCATGTTGGGCAGTGGACTCAGCATGGCAGCAGCCAAGCACCCTGCTGCGTTAATGTTAGCAAAGGAGAGTCTCCATATACAGGAGATGATTTTCCAAAGTAGGACTGCTTTGGAAGCAAGGGACTGAGGAGAGCAAGTCCCTCTGAAATTTAAAAATCCCACCCATTAGACCCGGTGTCAAAAAAGATGAAACAATCTGTAAAACTCAGCAACACTATAAGGTCAAACAGAAAGAACATATATGCAGGAGACATGAAGGTAAATATGCATGCTAATACCAAAACAAGGAAGTCAGATTCATAAGAACATAAGAAATGCCATGCAAGTCAAACCAGAGGTCAGTTGGTCTAGCACAGTAGCAGAGAGTGAAGCTCTTGGTCTTTATCGCCTAGTAAAATGACTAACTGAAGGAGGTGGTGTTGAAGTGATGTAGCTGTGATGGTCTAGGAATTATGCTAGAGGCAAAGATTGTGTGGGTAATAATTTTTATTGGACCCAGTGCATGGTTGGCATAAAATTAGACAATATTTTGAGTGAAAGGACCGAGGGAAGAAACCACTTCAGAGATCTCTGGAACATGCAGTAATTCCAGTTATTGTAGTTGCCATAGTGTAATGCTCTGGATGGACTAATTAGCTTGCTGAGTAGAGAGCTTGGGCCCAGAGCCATGTGAATGCAGAAATACCACTTAAACCCACTTGAGAAATAGCCTGAGCCTTTCACCAGACCTAATGAGCATAGATTCAACTAATGCCAAGAGACAGCACTAATTAGCTGGTCAAGGTGTAGAGCCAGGTAAACATGACAAAACTTCCAGCCCAGCAAGATAGCCAGTAGCCACCCTTCTGCAGAACCAGGCAGCATCATATTGCACCCTCAGCAGCTTTGGGGGGTTATTTTTTACCAAATTTAGGAAGAGTCCATTTTGGAGCATTCTTGTGAGCATAGCCCCAGTATTCAGAATGACCCTGGAATACCAAGAATCTTCAGGAAGGCAGGTTAGATATGTACCTTATAAACTAACTGAGTAAGATATCTAGAGAGAGCACAAGCTTATGAACTGAGTTCACTTCATCAGATGTTGTGAAACAGCTATCTTCACAGTCACCTAGGCCAAGCATATCTAAAAAAATCACCTAAAGCTGTGAAATTAAGGTGATTAACTGCTTCTCTCCTCAAGGACTGACAGAGATCTTGATCTAAAGCTCATCAGTGCAAAAGACAGGACTTTCTCAGGAGAGAATCAGGACTTAATGAACTCCCATAGGCATTAAAGACCAATACAAACCTTACCAAATCCAGCTCCATTGGCAAGGCATGCTCCTTTGAATTTGCCTGCCCTAATGTAAATGTACAGTAGGGTGTACATTTAGGAAAAACAAGCAAACAAAACAATATTCGTCTCCTCCAGGGAGACCGTGAAAGAGAATGAACCACAGGTAACAGATGTTAATCACATTGCCTAATGCACAGCTGGAGGATGCACAGACAGTATGTAATTAGGGCTGTATAGGCACCTACACAAAATAAAATATGCAGAAAGCAGGGCAGGGTGGTACCTTAGGGCACTTTTACACATACTCGGGGGGC